CAGCACTGAGTACAGGTCATCAGCATGACTGCCCTTCTGCTGCCATGTTAGTGGTTGCAAAGGCAATACTTAGAGGCATTCAGAGAATGGCAACCCATGAGAGCACAGGAGATTCCTCCCAAGGAGGAAGACTAGATGAAAATAGTAGGTTGTATGGATGCAACTGTACCAAAGGATGGGGAGAAGGAGCTGCAGAGCTGAGGTGGGAGTCAGCAGCTGAGCAACAGCTATTAATGCTCTACGGAGAGGGCTAAGGCACTAAATGCCAGTTGGTTCTCTGATGAAGTGAAGATGACTCCAGCCCAAAAGCTTGGAAGATGAGCTAGAGAGGTATGCAATGGTGAATAGCCACTGACATGCAGCAGACACTGTATATGCAGACCTGACTGTGTAGATGCTCCTAAAAGGTGGAAGGCTTGCTTACCCAGATTGTTCTCAGTCTTGGTGGCTATTCTCTCTCCAGAAACTGGAGTATATTTGGGGGGGGGGGGTGTAGGGAGGAATAGAAAAAGAAAGAAAAGAAAAAAAAAAGCTGCTTTAATTGTGTTATTCCAGACACTTTTGTCAGCAACAAAGGTAGTTTAAGGAGTCCCTGCCTCCCCTCCTCTCACCTTTGGTTGCTTGTTTGTATTGCAGAATGATTCCACCAGAGCTCCTTATCTACATGCCATGTTAATATTGTTTAGAACAATTAGATCAGTGAAGGCAGCAAGCATGCTAGCATTTAGTGGGCGTAGATGGTACAACCTATGTTTTCCCGTTGAGTACACCAAGTGACTGGATATAAAACAAGATTTCTCAATGCTAGTGACTCAAGGTGAGGACAAAATGAAGATTTGCAAGGAGCATCTTCACCTCTGACCTGCTTTCAGCAGTCTTTTTTCTCAAGAACAGTCATAGTTGCAACTGAGAAAAAACAGGGTTAACTTATTTCAACACGTGAAACACTCTTAATTTTCTTCTCAGATAACTGACTTCATCTCCAAATATAAAAAGAAAAATCTATTTGCATCAACACTAGCCTTTCTAAGCATCAGAGAATCTCAAAAAACTCTGCCTTACGATGCTATTTCCTAATAATTTAAAAATAAATTTTTAAAAACCAACCCCAAACCATTTCCTCACTTTCAATCCCTCCTGATATCTTCACATATGCAGGCAAAAAAATCTCTTATTAATGCCACAAAGATGCACCCAGATGCCAGAATCAAAACTTTTGCTACGTATTCTCCTTAACAACTCTCATTTAGTGTGAGCAGGTGGTGAGAAGGAAGCAGAGTAAGAGAGGAGGATTATTTTGGGAAAAGAAGCAATAACTGTTACTAGTCTGTCCAACAGTAGGAATGGTAGAAATCTGAATCATGCTTTTACTGTATGAATGGTTAATTCCAATATGCTATTATAAACAATGATCCTTTACAAAGGATGTCATCTCCCTAACAGGAAAAAATACACCTGTTGGAAAAAGAGCAGGGTCTGAAGCAGAAACAGAAGTAAGTACAAGAGATGGACCAGCTTGAGTTTTCTTCATCTTACCTCTTCCTATAACCATTTAGGTGCTGGTCTCCAGGGCCTATATCACACTACATAACAGAATTAGCCCATTGAAAGTAACGCTTGAAAGAAGAGGAAAGAGGCTGTCAAGCTGGAGTTAGGGAGAAATTACAGCTACATTTTTAGCTTCCCTGAATGGAAGCACCTCTGAATAAGTGCTGCCAAGATGAAATCCTAGCAAGTAAATGCCATATTTAGAGTGTGCCTATTCACTCACAGAGAGGTATTACTACAATGATACAAATTATATACCAAGGAAATTTCATGGCATATATTTAACGGATGGCTTGCTAACACAAGTCTGTGTACAGTGTACCTTCCAGATAGGAATTAAGAATTTCAATATTAGAAACCACCTCTCCACTGTCTGCAAGCAGAGGGCAAGCTCCTAAGCTAGCAGTAGATGGTGAGTGTCCTCTGGAGTTACAGTTTTTAAATGACCTTATTAGTTTTCACTGTTTAAACAAGTCACTTTCTATCTTGTGTTTTATCTTTGCGTCCACTCTTCTGGCCCTCATTCGAGGGTGACTACAGTGGTTTCTGCCTGCACAGAAGGGATGGCTCAGCTGCTCTTCTAGCAGCTGCTGCACCACCACAAAAT